CCCCAAAACCCCAAAACCCCAAAACCCCAAAACCCCAAAACCCCTTGAAGGCCAGTTAAATTGATGCAGACGTTTGTACTGTCTTTAATAATATTTAAATTTTATTTTTTAATAGTAAATGTCTTCAGCAGATAATAATCAAGGTAAGTCTTTGTATCTTCCCAAACTGACCTTATAGTTAATGGAAACCATCCAAAAGCCAATGAAACAGTCACTAAGGATCAGAGCAAACCTCTATTGTCTAAATATGTTTTTCTGTGACTTGGAGGAATCCTTATTGGAATTTTAGCATACTTTTTGCTCATGAATACACCTTTCAATGATATTTTGAAGCCTTACATTGAGTCAGTAGCCGAACATGTTGGAGTAAATATCGCTGAATATTTCTGTAAGTCTCCTAGCAGTTCAAATTTTTAAATAAAGCAGATAATTAACAAATTTTATATAGTTGTAGCCATTTTGTCCCTGGCCGGTCTCTTTGTTCTCTATACATGAATCAGAGCACCCCAATTTTTCAAAAATGCCAAAGTTAATAAGAAGAAAGATGCTACCAAGAATGATACTGGGGATGCTACTAATGGGGAAACCTCCGCACAGTTTGAGGGGGAGCTTGAACAAGAAGACGTAAGAAAATAAAAATAAAGTGTTGATTCCCCTTTTTTGATATTTCAACATGTTTTCTAAATTTGGTGTAGAGAGACACTGTTCAAGTGCTTCACAAGGAAGAGTCTCAACAAGAGTCCGTATTTGAGAGTCCGGTTAGAAGAATTAAGTTCTTTGAAAAAGCTTCGCATGATAGGAAAGTTTCAGAGGATGGAGACTTCATTCCTATTGATATGATTCATCAATCTTATGTTGATTCTGGAAGGAAAGGATAGTTGAGTGTATCCTAAATTTTGCGTTCCTCAACATTTTTGAGTATAGAAGGCGATAATAATATGATTAATAGCATTTTTATCAATCAAAGTATTCACCAAAGGGGTTTTGGGGTTTTGGGGTTTTGGGGTTTTGGGGTTTTGGGGTTTTGGGG